AACTATGATTCCCCAAAATTCACTTCATCAATATACATGAATAAAAGTCCCTTCTTTTCTGAGAAGCCCACGGAGCATTTTCTAAGAAAAGTAAAGTTACAGCCTATCAGGAATAAATAAACAAGAAACCCAGAGGGTGGTGGTTTGGCTTCCAATTCAGGTCTTCAAAGATCTCTGTCCTGGCATTGCTCAGTTACCAGGAAAGGGGGTGGGAACAACACAAGCTCAGTCTGTACTTTTGTGTAGCTGAGAGAAAGATGCCCCTTTGCAGCCCAGCAAGAGGCACCTCAGCTCAGCCAACACTTGCTCCTTGGATTTGTTGCCCTTGTCTCATGAGCAAAGGGCACCATTATGCTTGTTGGTTCTGACCACAAGCCTCCCTTAGGAAGCTCCATGGAAGTCCTGTTTTCAAGAGAGCCCTGGAATAGGTAGACAGGGGGCTGGGATGGGGAAAGGCGCAGAGTATTGGGAGGAAAGGGGAAAGGGAGTGACAGCAAGACGGAGTGAGAAAGCCTGGCAAGAGTGAGAGCAACATGCTTCAATGAAAACCAAACAAGAAACAGAAAAATCATAATAAAAGTAAAGAGAAGTTCCACAGTACAAGCTCCTAGAAGTGCTTAGGTTTTTTGTAGAGCTAAAAGCCTATAAAAATCGGTTGGGTGCTGGAAAGTAACTTCCTTTATGTAAAACTGGAGGCAGAAACTGCCTCTTTTCTCCAGTGAACTGGTAAAAAAGAGACAAAGGAGAGCGATCTTGTGCACCAGCTCCATGTTTCTCCTCCTAGGCCCAACTGCGGTGTGTTTAGGATAGCTTTTCTCTGATAACAATTGTTGATAAGTTTACAGTGGGATGACTGTGAGTATCTCTGAAGGGAACAGTACCTGACAGAACAAAAGAAGCCTGTGCAGTCTCACACTCCACATTTTCCTGATTTAATAAACTCCTCGCATATCACCGAGTGCTGCTGCTGCTATGTTAACATACTCAGGGACTAGAGAAAGCCTCACTGTACAAGATCATACATGAAAAGCATTTGCTGTAAGCAGTGTAACAAGGATCTAATTGTGCTGGCTGTCAGTAAGAATATGGAAATGACTCTTAGGAAGGACACTCTCTATAACAGTAATGGTTTGTATGCCTCATATGTGGTAGAGGCCCCACAAGGAGCTGAGGAGAAGGGCAAGTTGGTTCTGAAGGCAGAACCTCAGTACACTAGTCAGCCCTCGCAGCTCAGGGTAGCCCCTCAGCCCAGGACAAATGCTGGTTGTGGTTTTAAGGTCACTGCAACCTCTGACCTCCAGAGGACACTGGTGAAATCAGTCATGAACAATCCACGATATGCTCAAGGGTCCTAAGACAAGCTGTCAGGAAATACAAGGGGTGATCCAAAAATAAGTTCTGAAAAATCACAGGAGTGGACATGGTGGAAAAAAATAAAATAATATTTTTAGGAAAAGAATGAGTTTGAACAAAAGGCAAAGAATGGGTGGAGCTGATGAGATGAAATGAGGGATGGCTTGGCAACTGAGAAAGAGGAAGCAGAGCAAATGGCTCCCATAACACGAATTTGAGGGCAACCCAAGACTGAAGTGAACACCAAAATTTATCTAAAAAATCACAAGCCTGGGATGGAATGCATTTTTAAACAACTGCAAAAAAAATGTTTAAAGGTCAACACTTCTAGAAGAGAGTTGGTAAGTATCAAATAACCCTATTACTGGAAAAACAGAGAGGGAGAGGAGGAGAGGGAAGACCCAAGAGTGAGCAAGAGATGATAAAGGACCATGCACTGCATAAAGGAGGCACTGAGCAATCCAAAATAATCAAAAACTAGACAGATTTTTAAGGCATTTATTTGTTTAAGACAACAGAGATTCAAAAAACTATTAGCAATAAAAGTGCCCATGATATAATTTTATTTGAGAAATTGATTTGAATTTGGTTTAAACATAAAGCTCTTATGAAGGCTGCTCTAAACAAGAGAGCTACAAAGAAACAAATTCTTCCATAAGTGATGTTTGAAGACAGAGCTAAAGGCACATGCATTCCCCAGCCCTACGAGATGGCAGCACCACTTCTACCAAAATTAACCTTGCCTTTGAAAAGCTCATGTGATACCTGCAAGTTTTCACTACTTTTCAAACACTTGCTCCGAATGTAGATTAAAATCTTCCAGAGGCTCAATTTCTCCATGATTTAAAAAAAAGTACACAATTTAAAATAGTTTTGCAGGTTATTTGGGAAGGAACATCAACGCACAAATATGAAGTCATTCAAAATCTCTTTTTACTTACCAGGATTCAAGGAAGTTCTGGGCATAACCCAGATCTGCTCACTGCTTTTCAAATAAAAGTGGATTCCACTACCTCCAATTACAATGTTGGTGATTCAGCTAAGCATTTTTATTGGGTTCATGTACTTTAAGTAGATAATTAAGTAAATCTTTATCCAAAGCGAACAGTCAACAAATAGGAATATCTAATGACATCCTACTTCACCACTTCCGATTAATGTGGGAATCATGCAAAGCAGAGTCCCCTCATTGGAGAAGTTCAAAGCCACCACAAGATAGTCAACCATACTCTCCTGAGCTGTACAAGCAAGCATCTCAGAGAAGACCACCTTTGCCAGTCACTTGCCATTCCTTTTCCTGATATTTATTTGCTTCTGTGTGAGTCCTCCTGATTAATGTGAAATGTGGCCTCAAGAGCACCATTTTTAAAACACACATGCATTCCCAGCACCTGTGATTCTGACATCTATGCCCTGGTTAAAAAAGATGGCACTGGTTTTCTTGCACCAGGAAAACTTGTTCCCTGAACACTGTTTTTGAGAGTTCTAACTTCTTATTTCTTCATGCTTTAAAATTCTTCCTTCTCGGTGTGTGTGTATGTGTGTATGTGTGTGTGTGTGTGAGAGAGAGAGAGAGAGACAGAGAGACAGAGAGACAGAGAGACAGAGAAAGACAGAGAAAGAGAGAAAGACAGAGAGAGAGAAAGTTGGTTGATCTGCAAAATCTCTGAATGGATTTTAACCATAGGCTTTTCACGCTCTAAATATCTGAGGTTAAGAAGGCGCGTGGAGAGCATTTCCCATGTGAGGATTGATGGGTCAAGTATGATGTGTCAGATAGTAATCCAGTGTAAGTTTGAATTCCCTCAGTGATGGGACCCTCACTCTCTTCTGGGGCAGTTTGAATTATGATAAAGTTCTTCATTATGAGCTAGAAATATCTCCCTTTCATTATTAGGGGTTGTTGTTGTTCAAATATAATTGACATCCATTTTTAGCTTCAGGTGTACAATACAATAATTCAACATTGGTATACATAATTCAACATTTGTGAAGTGATCATCACAATAAGTCCACTGGCACCTTTTCTTAGCATTGTTAGTATTCTGTCTCTGTCCACACACTGGGGTGTTCTATGAACCCAACCAAATCCCACCATTATAAATGGCCCAAAAGGTAGTGAGGGCTATCTTCTCCAGACCAAATGCCTTGGCATGGGTTCCCAGTTCCTCAACACTTTCATCACTTTCCTCTGGACACCTTCTCATAATCAACTGAGGTCTTGGGACCTTCTGTGCTGTCACGTTTCTGCATCTCCTGTCTCATCTCTTTATCCTCTCCCTCCACAGTACAGACATGACTGCCTGTAAGCTTGCTCTGTGGCTCCAGAAAACAGTAATGCATGTACACATAGAGCTAACATGATCGCTGTCACTGTCTGATGTCCACCACATACATATTTTCTGCTGTTTCCCACATGTTCAAGTTGGCCCAGTGTTCACAGGACAATAGACATGGCACCAAAGTTTAAATCAGAACCTCAAAGTCAGTCTTCTAACAGCCCCATGTGCTATCACTGTTGTGTCTTAATCCATACTATTAATCTTCTGTTCCTCCTCTGATGTGCTCCTTTCCTAATCAAAACACCTCACACATATTTGGGCTTTGGATGTTACCATTCATGGACATAACTAGAAAAGCCACACAACATTCCTTCATAATGACACACTACTAAGTGCATACTGAACTGACTGCTGTAGAGTACTTTATCATTTACAATGTCTTAATCTTCAATGCAATCCTGAGGAATAGGTGTTATGATTATTTTATAGATGAGGAAACTGAGGCAGACCTGGACACTAACCCAAGGGATCTTCTGGTGGCACAGCTGGTGATATTTTTATTCTATATCCTACTTACCCAGGAAGCTTGCACATCTTGGGAAGAAATAGTTTTCTAAGGTCAAATTCCAAGTATCAAATAAAGAATGAGTCACACTAAAAAGCAGAGGAATCTGGTTTCTATTTCTGACATTGCTGTGCACTAACTCAGCGCTTAACTTTCCCAGCTCCCGGTTTCCTCATTCATAAAACAAGGCAGGCGCATGAGAGAGCCCTGCAGAGGTCCCTGCTCAGCTGTTCTTTGTCTCCTGCACTGTCGCTGCCACACCGCTAAAATTAGGCAGAAAACATCATTGAAATACCTTTCTTTTTTATTTCTTATGCTTTTAAAGTTTCTAAGATTAGACGGATAGTTTTTGACAATTATCCCAAGTAGTCTGTTGAGGAGGAAAAAATTATTTGTTAATTTTTAATCAGTTCATTTTCTGTAAGGAGAAATAAATTTGGAAACCCCAGCCACAGCGCTAGACCCAGGCCCAGCCCATAGCGCAAATGTCTCCTCAGCAGAGAACCGTCTCTCCAGTCCTGTGTTCTCAGAACAGCGATTTTCAACACTTGGCTATAAACATCTGAAGACGATTTTGGTTGTCACAACTGGGGAAGGTGCTATGGAAATCTAGTGAGTAGAAGCCAGGAATGCCGCGAAACACCCCCAAATACACAGGCCAGTCCTCCCTCACGTGCTGGGGGTGAGTAACCTTGTCTTCAGAGAAGTCAGGAATGGCACCAAGCCCTCTTTCGTGTTTTAAGCTAAACTGGTCCACTTGGGAGGCTAACCAGATGTGCTTGTCTGAACACCTCGCTTACCTTGCAAAGAAGGACGCGGCCACCGAGGTGCCTGTGGAAGTCTCGCTGGCCACACAGGAGCCCTGCGAGGTGGCGGCTGGGACGCTGCAGGCGGCAGGCTTGTCCGCATTGTAGCGATTCAGCGCTGCTTCTGTCAGGCCCTCGCGGCCAGTCTCAGTCATCAGCTGGGAGATCTGGCGAGAAAGATGGAAACTGAGCTCATTACCTTTGGCTACTGCATTTGCTGACAGCCTCTTTCAATTGGGGGGAGGGAGAGGTGGGGAGGCTGAGGGGAACATGCCTCCCATGTACATTCAGTCTCATACACCTTGGCGCTCAGAGCTCCTATAAAGCTCTTTTCTAGCATTTTAGCTAGGACATCTCCTCGTTTTCATTAAAATAATGGAATGAAATTACCCCCTGACATTGCAAGTTTCAATTATGTCTGTGTCTCCCCTCCATTTGGAGGGAATGCACGAGTCATTATCCACACACTTTTTGCAGCCCAGGCCCAGATCAGTAACAACGACGAGAGCCAGTTTCTCACCAGGAATGGTCCCGAATGCTTCCAAAGAGAAGAATGAGGCAAAGGTATTATTTTATTAATGGGTAAGTCAATCTACTAACGAAGAACAGAAGGAGTTAAATAAAACAGTATTTGTTATTTGCCGAAGGCAGATAGCAGAGGTGACGCAGAGAAGCTCTTGAGCATAGACAGACCCATCACAAATACCAGTGGGTGTTTTTTTTTTTTTTAATTTTTAAAGGTTTATTTATTAATTTATACAGAACAGGCACACTGAAGAAGTGCACTGCTGAGGGGAGCAGCAGGTGAAACAGGAGAGGTAGTGTCGTTTTTGTTACTGGTGTCGTTTTGAGGTTTCAGACCAGGGTAAACAGACTTACTTCTCCTGCTGGTTCATTAAGATAAATGGCTTCTTGCTGTTCCCCTCAGCAGTATGTTTCAGTCAGTCTGCCTGTTCTGTTCCCCACACTGTCTCTGGTGAATCCTCTCACACCCCCATGCCTCTGGCCTGTACCCCAAATTCTTAAAAAAAAAGATAAATGGCTTCTATTTCATTTGCAAAGACTGCATTTATTCCAGAAATTTTAGTGGGTGGGGCTGGGCCCATTCTGCTTAAATTCACATAATAGGCTCCGAAGAATCATATTTCCAGGCAAAATAAGAATCTTTATATACTTTTGGAAAGTGCTAATCCCATGACAAATGTAATAATTATATAGCAAGGTCTAAATGTGCTATGTGGGATGCCTGTTACTTTAAAACTTCAGTCTGCTTGCAAAAAAGAATAAAAACACATTTTTTTTAAAAAGGAAACATTAGTACCAAAAATATATATATAATAATTTGCAGCCAGTTCAAACCTCTTGAATGCTGAGTGGAAAATATTTCTAAATGCCTAGAAAATACAAATGCAGTAAAACAAAGATCACCAATGGTTTCTACTTTGCAACTGAGCCGGACAGTAGGCCAACGAAAGAACCCCATTTGTTAACCTTTAAAAATACAAACACTTGTATTTTTCATTATTAGCAGAATAGCGATTACCCTAAGCCTCCATGACTTGTAACTTTGCTGTGGCTAAATTCTTGCTCTTATTTGGAAAGTCTTGCATTATTCAGCTGAAATTCTGCCAACACATATTTTCTTATTCTCATTCATTCAAGACATTGCAAGGAAACCTGAATCACAGAAAAGAAACCAGAGAGGAGGCGGCAAAAGCAGCCAGAGCCTGGAAGAATTCCCCATACTCAGCCAGGAGCTGCTCACCTATCCTTGGGCTTCCTCTGCTGCCCAGGGGGTGTGGGAGCCCCTCAACCAGCTGCCAAATCTTGAGGAATATGCGGTTGGAGAAGGCAGTTGAAGCCAGGGAGCAGTTGAAACTGGGGAGACATGGCCATGCATACTGTTTTCATCACAAAACAGCATTTACGAAGCCCTGTGGGTAAATGATGCCATCCTGGACAATGTCCAAAAACAAAATTGCAATATTCATCGCACCATTTTCTTTATCACAAAGCTACAATCTGAGACATGTAAAACTGATGCTAACACACAAAGATTTGCTTTTCAGACCTAATGATATTGCACACCTAACAGACTATAATGTAGTATAAAGACAACTTTGCAATGCATTGGGAATCCAAAAAATTCTCACGACTCACTTCATTGAGATACTCAATTTATTGTGGTGGCGGTGGTGGTGGTGGAATCAACCTGTAACATCTCCTAAGTGTGCCTGAATTGTATTTCTAATCTGAGGTTTGGAGAAAAAGGAGTGGAATTCTGCTTCACCATGTAGAAAGTATCCTATAGTTGTCCTGAAAATCCATAAAGAAGCCACTTGGATGTGTGTGGCAAATGGCAAGATGCCTAATAGAGGCACAGCTTTCTGGTACTTGCAGGTTCCCAAATCTAGCAGGACAAATGCCAGCATGCTGCGGGTTTGTGGCTTTCAAAATGTCACTAGACAGATGAATGTCTATGCACTGGCCAAAAGAGAGCTATTGGCTCTCTTGTGCCAGACCAGACTGGATCTCTTTTAAAAAATTGGGAATTAGCAGACATGGCACAACCAATTCCCAAGTCCATAAGAGTTGTTCAATAATCAACTGCTTTTAGAAATTAAGAATCACAGAATGTTTTAAGAGCTAGAAAAGATTATCAAGATCATCCTCTTCAAAACTCTTTATCTTAAAAAAGAAACTGGGAAGCAGAGAGGTGAGCTGCCCAAGCTAACTGGTAACTGAGAAGAGGACACTGATTCTTAGGCATGTGATACTCCCTCCTCCTTTCCTCTATGCCCTCTCGTCCTTTTGTGATAGCCCCCCACCCCATGGCTCCTAGATGGGGATGCATCAGAGATGACCGAATCCACTGTAGCTCCCCTTTAGCAACTGGGCACAGCAACAGTCCTGGCTTTGCTGCAGGGGGTGGGGGCTCCAAAACCCACCACCACCCCAGCCTGTTGAATCCCACCTCAGGAGCCGGTTCAGCAGGTGCTCCAGCTCCCCTGAGCCCCTGCACTGCATGGCCAGAGTGAGATGGCAAGAAAGAAGCACAGCAGACTGGATGTGCTGGTGGGGTTTTGGTTTTGAAGCTAGCAAGGTTTTAAACAGGCCAATCAGGTTCAAACATGCACCCGTGGCAATCAAGTCTTGGAAATGGAACGGGTTTTGTGAATGGACCGATCAACCTTGAAAGGTGGAAGGGGATGTTAACCGGGGTTTCAGACAGCTTGACACACAGACTGGTCCAAACTCTCTCCTAGGAAGATCTTTAACTCAGACCTTCAAGACCTTAGCTTCAGGGATACTGACCTCTGAGACCTCCCAGTCCTTCTCATCTGACTCTGACTCTCATCTGACTTGCCTGAGACTTAAGCCTGACAGACCCTTGAGGCATTCACACCTGATCTCCACTTCAAACTATCACCTGACCACTTTCTGCCTTCAGCTTTGCTTCCACATTGTCTACTGACCTGTGCACTGCTGGCCTATGCCCACATCTCTGAAAGGATTGCACAATGGTGCCTGATCCTCACCACCTGCTGACCTGTGCTGACCAGCACTGCTGACCTGTGTCTGGCCATCTCTATGAGCAAGCTATGCACCACTTCTGATCTTCTAGCACAACCACCTAACCACCACCCTGCCTCCAGCATGTCTGGCACCATCTCCTGTTGTAGTTGTGTCCAGTGCTGCCCAGTCTGGCCTTCTATCTCTAGCTGCCACCTTGAGTTGGGTCCTGGTCCACCATTTAACAGTGTGCCATCAGCTCCATGTTCTTATTGAAGGGACAACACCATCTTGCACGAGCAGCCTTTGGTTTGGATATTGGATGCTGCAGATACTATCTGTGGTAGGACAGTCAGCCATTTATGGCCTTAGAAATTGTTTCCTTTTCCTAAATTTTCCTTTGTTAATAAACCCTGTTGTTTGTTGCACTCTGAATCTGAGTTGTGTCTTACAGCCATGAGCACACGGGTGAGGCCCATGAACTGTGACTGACCTTCCCCAAGCTTTGCATGGCTTCACTTTTAATTAAAAAAAATTAACATAAAGGAAAGACATTAAATAAGACACATGTAAGAACACCTACTACCATAATTGACAAATGTTTATACCATCTTTGAAGATTTTTTTAAGATTTATTTTATTTATGCATCCAAGAACTGGGGTATAGGCCAGAGGTAGATGTGTGTGTGTGAGAGGATTCACCAGAGACAGAGTGGGGAGCAGAACAGGTGGAATGACTGAAAGACACTGCTGAGGGGAGCAGTGGGTGAGCCAGGAGAGGTCTGCTGCGCCATGTGGGCAGCTCCCTGGCAGGGGATCAAATTAGTGCTGCAGTGGCTGCCGATAGCTTCATAGGCTGATACTTAACCCCTTGTACCACCAGGGAGGCCTGAAGATATTTTTAAAGAAGCCAAACATTACATGAAATTGAAATTGCCTAGGTCCCTGGTCACCCAGCACTCCCGCCCTGCCCTCCCTTTCCAGATACAGTCAAGTCATGATTTGGGTCCAGTCCATGTACTTCTTCAAGGTGTGCCTTCCATCACACCCACTGCCTCCTAAAATCCCGGCTTTTGGTTTATTTTGATAATTCTCTGGGTTTTGTTCTACCTCTTCAACAGTGGAAACAGGGTTATCTCTCCCTGCCCCACGCCAAATGTCTACTGCTATAGTCTCTCTAAGTTAATATCCTCACTTGTATTTACACTCCATACCCTGCCCAGGGATCACAAACTTTCAGAAATAATATACACATAATTACAGTAATTGCTAGTTTGCCCCCCACACTCTGCACTCCAAAATTCTGACAGATTTCCTCAAACATAACTCCTGTTGCTCCTGCCACAGAACCTTTGTACATGCTTATACTCTATAAATTGTGCCTTTACTTTTCATTCAGATTCAAGTTCAAGCATCACTTCCTCAGAGAAGCCTTCTTCTAGTCTTCCAGCTCCCTTTTAGCCTCTGTTGGATGTTTTTATAGAACTGCAATCTTTTCCGTCCACATCCCTTTACCTTATGCATTTAATAGTGAGTCACTGTCTCTTACAACGCAGAAGCCGCAGAACAGAGGGTTTAAGTCTGGCTTTCCCACCACTGTATCCCTAGAGACCAACACAATTCTTAGCACATATTTAAAACATGTTTGTGGAGG